ATATATATATATATATATATATATATATATATATGTATATGATAAATATTTATACTGCTGTTCCATCTTCTATATGGCCTGCAGAGCATATCTTAATTTTCAATACATTTAAGAATTGTACTCTTATATTACAAGCGTCGTCCGTCTTGTATATATTCGATTCATCTTTAACATTATATATTATTTAAATGGAATAATGTAAGAAATTATAGTTGAAATTAGGTTCTATGTATATGGAATCTGAAATAAGATTTTAGTATTTTATAAAGAAGGTGATCAACATAATCCATCTTCATAATCATCCGCATCTTCGTTTGTTTCCAAATTCTCCGAAGTTACATTAGATTTTTCATCTTCTACTTTATCTCGTATTTGTTCCGTTGTATCATTAGATGCAGCAGTAACAGTAGTAGCAGCAGCAGCAGTAGCAGCAACAGTAACAGTAGTAGCAGCAGCAGCAGTAGCAGCAACAGTAACAGTAGTAGCAGCAGCAGCAGTAGCAGCAACAGTAACAGTAGTAGCAGCAACAGTAACAGCAGCAGTAGCTGCAGCACCGTCATCTTTCTATTAAATGAAAATAATATATTATGTAAAAATATATGTTTAAAGGAAAATTATAAATGCAAATATATTTATCGTATATTTACAGAATTTACTTCAGCTTCAACTGTAGCTTGTCCAATTAATTTATTAGCATTAGGTGAAACATATGACTCAGCTGCATTTGCCCTTATACCTGCAGGTGGTACAGCATAGATTTGCTGTGGTAGAGGCAAACCTCTTGCAAGTTTAGCATATTCGACATCCATGTGTTTAATAAAAGGACTGTTTAAAGCAGATCTAGCTGCATCTGCATCTTCATTATCATATGCTTGTAAGAGCATCTCCAAAGTTTGAACCTATATTATAAATTGATGATGTTAGTTAATAAAGACAATTAGTAGATAAAAGATGACATTTATTTATAAAAATACCTCAGGCGCATCACAATAATTTCCCCATTCTTTAAATGCCTTTTCTGCAGCAACTTGATCACCACGTGCTAATTGTACCAATACCAATGCTACTGCCAAACGACCCACCGATGGCGTATAATCTATTTGTTGATGCATTCCTATTTCTCTGCGAATGGCATCCGCAGCTTGATCATACATTTGAAGTTTCACCATAAGTCTTCCTACCTTGCTCATATATTCAGCTGCTTGTCTTGGACTATCTTCACCCTTTAATCGAAAAAAGATATTTGTATATAAACTCTTAATATTAATTTTATATAATAAGTAATTTATACCATGACAATATCTGCTGCACGTTTAAATAATTCTAAAGCTTGTTCTGGTTGTGTTGATTCAATCAATTTTGCTGCTTTATCAAGTACATTAGCACCTGATTCAGGTGAACCATGTTGTTGATACAAAGAACAAGAACTGTGTGCAAGTTGTGGTACATCCGAAAGATTACCCATTTCTTTGCAAATTAATAAAGTTTGTTCTATACACCTGTAAAACGTATCTTGATGATTTCAAGCATGACATAATATTAATATTTTTCTTTAGATAAATTAGATAAATAAGACAATGAATATTTACCTTGCTGCATGAAACCATCTATTATATGATTCAGGATAATATAAATGCAATCAAATAAATATTAATACTAATGAATTATATTATAACATATACAGTGTAACAATATTGATTTATCAAAGGATACGATTTATTTTGTTTATAACAAGAAGAAGCTTTCATTAAACATTCCCTACATTGTTGATATGATTTGGCAATTCGAAAACAAGTAGCTAAAATAAATATTAAATAAATGTATTAATATGTTTAATCATTTGTGAAAGTTGATTAAATATTTTACCTGCATGTGTATACTCGTCAGCAGCATAATCGAAATCAGGTTTCCACTTCAATAAAGAAGTTTTTAAGCTATAACAATTATGTTAAAACAAACATTTTTTCTTTCATCTTGGAAATAAATTCTTGACATTTCTTTTTCATTATTTAATAATAATAATACCTTTTTTCAGCTTGCCGTATGTGAGCGTTGCCTTCTTCGATCTTTGACATTTTTCTCCAAATGATGTCAGTTGATAATCAACCTTTCTCTCTTCGATAAATTCTTTCCTTAAGGAATCGAGTGATGTTCGATTTTAGTATTACTTGTGATAGATATTTTTTGACAAGCTACTGTACAGACGAAAGAATCTTTTTATTCCATAAAATTGATATTTACTAGGTAGAACAAGTACAAGTATAAAATCGTTTTCTTTCCTTCATTCAATATAACTGTCATCACGAGATGGCGCGTAGTTCGCATGCAGAAATTTTTTTTTATTGGTTTTCTTTTTGCAAACATATTAAATAAAACTATGATAAATCAATATACAAATTTTACACGATAATTTGATTTCATTAGTATTGTTATGTAATCATCAGTGAGAAAAGAAATGTTTTGTTTTTCTTTTGACAATTAATCAAAATAAATTTTATAAGTGACATCTAGCGGCGGATTATGGAATTTCTACAGTACATTCCTTATCCCTTCTATTTAATTCTCTTTAGTTTCGATTTTATGATCGAACTTTTGTGATTGTTTACTAAGATGTATTTTAGAGAAAAACAGCGGGAAAATAATATAAAAGTGTTTTATGAAATCTTATCTTTTATTAAAAGTATAGAAATTTCTGAAGAAGTGCATATGTGCAGAAACACACATCGTAACATTAAATATTGAAGGTAAATGCAACATACAGACATTCATTTAAATTTATACTTCCCAATGTATAATCATATATAACCTATACATAAGTGTTAACTTTAATAATATGTATGCACATGTAAATAAATATTAACGTGACGTTAAATAAATATCTCTACGCCATTAAAAATATATATTAATAATAATTCTCTTAAATTATTTTCTTTTAAAAGAAATAATCTTAGAAGTAAACTCAGATTATTTAACTTTATTATTCTTTCTTTTCTTTACTCAGGCTTTTTATAGAAAAAAATAATCAAATGGCTGAACGATTAGAAGATTTAAATCTTCCTAATGCAGTTGTTACTAGGATTATAAAGGAAGCTTTGCCTGATGGAGTTACTATAGGAAAAGATGCAAGAACGGCTATTGCTAAAGCTTCATCAATTTTTATTTTATATTTAACGTCATCGGCCAACATAATAGCTAGAAAATCAAGTCATAAAACTATTAGTGGGGCAGATGTTTTACAAGCAATGGCAGATATAGAATTTGATCAGTTTGTAGATCCTTTGCAGGAATCTTTAGAAAATTTTAAAAGAACTCAAAAAGAAAAGAAAGATGCTACTAAGAAAAAGCAATCAAAGAAAGAGGAAGATGAAGTAATTGAAGACGAAGATGCTGGAAAGGATAATTTATAACATTGTTGAGAAATATAATGGTTTTGTATAAATATTTCTTGATAATATAAAGTCGAACGAGAAAAGTACAGATTTTTTATATCGTTTTATATTTATTATAACCACTATTATATAATAATTATCAAATATAACTGTATAATGTTCGCTTTTTCATAAATGTATTTATTATTCTTTCATCTTGAATAGATGATGGATAAAAGTATCACTTACATTTTATAATAACAATGATTTTTGTACATATTTTCTTTACTATATTATTTTTATAATGATAAATATCATTTTTCATTTTCTCGTTACAGTTTAATAGATCAATTTTGTGTATGACCATTATATACAAGCAAATCATATTCAAATGTCATAAGAAATGTTTATGATTACTGTGATGGTTGTTAATTTGTTCTTTTTTTTTTTTTATAAAAACGTCGCAAATATTTGTTTAAAAATATTTTATTCTATATTGTTTGACGTTATTATTAGATTAAATAAAATTTCAAAATTAATTTAAGAGTTGTTATTTTAGATTGAAATATTAAATTATCATTTATGGAACATGTAGAAATAAAATTATTTTAATTTAAAATCATATTTAATACAAAATTTATAATTTTTGTAATAGATTGAGATGAGTAATAAACAAAAAAAATTTAATTTATTTCAGTTCCATTGTACTTGGATTAAATGTAAAATTATATGCGAATTTTATTGCTTATTCTACAACCTCTTTATAGAAATTACTTAGAAAATTTAACTTGTATATTTATTTTGGTTATAGATAATGGGATGTATATTGATGATTGATATGTTTTGGTAATTTTTTTTTATATACAAAATCTAGTCTTATTATTTTAGCATGTTTTTTAAACACACAAAAAAAATTACTTTTCATATTACTTAATTATGTATGAACTTTTATTTTATAAATTGATTATTTGTAAACTTTTTTTAAATGAAGCATAAAATAATGAAATTTTATTTAATTTATTTAAAAGATTACTTTTAAATACCAACAATAGAATATAATTATATTTTATTTATTTTTTTATCAAATTGCTTTATGCAATCAATGTCAAAAAATTTTTCAATCGAATAACATAGATAAATTGTTATGTTGTATATATTTATATATACTAAGATTATTCTTTAAACAAAATAATTAGAATTGATCATTTTATTTAATAATATTTAATAATATTTAATAATATTTTAATAAAAGAAAAGATAATAATTCTTGAATTTTCATTTGAGTAATATGTTTGTTATTTGGCAAATTTTACCTATCATAATTATTCATATCTTAAGTCATTAAAAAGACATACGTATACGAATATGAAGCATTCATATTTTTTTTTTTTTATTATGATTACGACTATAGATGCATTTATAAAAGGAACATTTTTATAAAGTTCATGCTAGTAGTATGTAAACGTGATCTAATTTTATTAATTAAATTAATGAAGTATGTTATAGAGAAATATGAAATGCATAATAAATAAATGGTCACATCTAAATATAATGATAAACATTAGTTATTATTAAAAATGTATATATTGTAATATATTTTTTGTTTGTATTATGTATATATATTACGCACTGTATCTTAAAAATAACAACCAGTAACTGGTATTCTAATCTTTTAAAAAAGGCATCTCATGGCTTATGGATTTAAAAATTTTCATTTTGCGTTCTATAGTACTTCGGCACATGGGACATTCCGATGAAACCATATTTGCACAATTAGAGCAACAACACAAATGTCCACATGGTAAAAAAATTACTTCACACTATAAAAATTAAAAATTAAAAATTAAAAATAATAAGAATAATTTATATAGCCATATAATCTAATGAAACAAATATTTATTGAACTCACCTGTAAATCAAGACAAACCACACATTCAGCAGTATTAATACTTTTTGCAATATCAAGTTCAGGTTGATTATAACTAGTAGAAGCTTCTTCAGGTGGTGCAGAAGGCAATGTTGGTGAATTATCTTCATTTATTTTCATTTCAGCTAAATAATTTTCAACAGCCATTTTTATAGCAGCACAATCTCGTTCGTTTGTTATACCAATCTAAAAAGTATACAAAATGTATTTAAATTGTTAATTTAACTATTAACAAAAATTATATTAATTATTTTTACGCACAGCTTTTAATTGTTCATCATTAATATTTGGTAATAACGATGGTAATGTAGCTAAAAAAGGTAGGCAGTGTAGTGCTCCTGCAATTGCAACATGTCGCACTAATGTAGGTTCTAGCATCTCTAATAAACCCTGAGGACGAGTTTCCATTAAAGAATGGTACTGCATTAACCAAAATTGACTGCTTCTTCTTAAATCCTTGAAGATAAATATAAAATTAAAAAAGAATAAAATAAATCAAATTAATAAATAAAAAATAAAAATGAAACAAATACTTACACTACTAGATCGTTTTTGTTCTATATGATTAATGGTTTCCAAAAGTTGATCTCTTCTATTTTTTTGTTGTTCTAATAAATCAAGAAGTATAGCACTTAATGCTACTCTTCGTTCAGAAATTTCATTCTAAAAATATATAATGATTTATGAATAAATAACAGTAAAGTTTATTATATAAGATATTATTTACTAAATCAACTTACAAGTTGTTGATTTATTTCTAATTTTCTTCTTTCTAATTCTATATTAGTTAACGCAGCTAATTGTGATTGAACCAAATTCACTTGTTGCATAATACTCCAAGAACGTGCATCACTGCGTTCTAATAAAGCTGCTACTGCGACTTTTTGTAGCACTTCATCTTGACGTATTTTGTCAATAAGTTCTTGTCTACTTTTTTCTTGATTTTGTACAATTTGTGCAAGATGATCATTCTGCCTTACTTCCCTGTAATTTTAAAATTGTAATAATAGAAAAAAATGTATATATTTATCGAAATTATTTTATGAAATACTAACAAAGATAATAGTGATTGTGCAGTATAATTTTTGTAATTAGTATGTTCTTCTAATTTTCTTGTCCTATATAATTCTTCTTCTAATAACTCTTCCATTGCCACTAAAAAGAAATATAATAAATATAAATACAATGATTAATATTATTCAATTATTAAATACACACAAAACTTACAGAGAGTATCCTTTGTACGAAACATGAATTGTTCTGAATGACATGACGATAATAATTGCATTTCTTCTTGTGCTTCTCGTTCTAATAATTCAGCTTGAGTTTGTCTTTCTTCTTCGCTATTTCTTAAAAATTCCTTTATTACATTATCAGCTTCTTTTTCAGCTAAAAATAAATTTTAGGTATTAGTTGAATCTTTTATTATTTTTATTATTAAATTTAAAAATAACAAAAAAATAAAACATTGATATATACCATTAGAAATGTAGGAAAGCAAACGTGCTCTATTAGTGTCTCTTTCTTTTTGTACTTTTTCTAATTTATGTTCGAACTGAGTTTGTTGTAGGGCTAAGTCTTTTAACAGCTAAAATTAAGAAAACAGAGAACACCTAAATAATTAAATTCAATTATCATTGTTATATACATAAATAAAAAAAAAAATACCTTTTGTTTATGAGCCTTTAACATAGATTGAACTTCAATTTCATATTCTTTTTGTTGTTTAATATTTCTTTCTACTTCTAATAATGCAAATTGACGTTGCTCCTGTAAATTAAATAATCTTATATAGTATAAAAATCTATGTACAAGCAATTATTACTATACACGTTTACTATTTGAATCAAATTAAAATAATCAATGATATAAAATATAAAAAACTTATAATCTTATACTTAACGAAATAAAAAATAATTATGTTAAATAATAAAACAATAAAAAGCAATGTGATACTGTTACAAAATAGTTTGAAACATAAAAATAGCTATGCATGCCTTTGTTTTTTCTAACTGCTGCAATTTTTCCTAAAAAACAAAAATGATATAACATTAAAACATGCATTACAACATAAAATGGCAAGCAGTCATCATGCAATACCTGTACATCACTATTCTTATCATAGTATATTGCTTGTACATTTTCCGAGCTTATGTCTCTGGACAAGTCATTGTCTGAAACCGAATCTTCAGGGGAATATTCAATTCCAGATTCATTTGCTAAAAATGCAATGATTACAATAGTACCCCCACTCAAAATATCTTCTGTCGGATATGATAATTTTAATCCATCAATATTCAATGTTGTTATTAATTGTAGATAGCCCAGAGACTTAGGAAGTTTTTGAAGATGTTTATTGTAACTAATATCCAAATTAATAAGATGTTGAAGTTTACCAATAACTTCTGGTAATTGTTTCAAATTATTTCTTGATACATTTAAGATAGTTAATTTAGTTAAATGTGCTATTTCGTTGGGTAGTTTGCTTATATTATTTTCCTGTAGGTATAATTCCTAAAGTATAAATAAATAAAGAATTTTTTTGTTATCTATTAATGATACTATATATATAATTATATTTAAATTGTATTCTTATTAAATTATAATATAATGATTTATACCTTGAGTGAAACAAGACACATAATGTCAGGAGGCAAATTGCTAAATTGATTTCCATGAAGATCTAAGACAGTAAGCAAAGATAAATCATTTAATGTACCTCCACCCGAAAGAGAAGACAACTTATTATGGTACATCCATAAGATTTTCTTCCTAAATACTTTGCATAATGAATAAATCCCAGGTGGCACAGTTTTTAGGGCACATTCAGAGATATCAAAAACAGGTTCTGGATTTTCCCTTGCCTATCATATATTTAATAAATATTATAATTATCATAATACATACATACATATATATAATAAATAAAACTTATAAATATTAGATTAAAAAAAAAGCTATAAAGAAAGAACAATAAAATTCAATGATAATCAAACTATTATTCTAAATAACATAATAAATTGACATTACACTGACAGATCAATACCATAGTAACAAACATTATGATTATTTTCAGTTAGATATAACAAAATCATGCGTCAAATCATGTGTTATTGACATCATATTTTGCATCGAGTGCATCGACAATTTTTCAACAATTATTTTCCATTTTTGCGTTAGAATATATAAGTTTTACTATATACTATATAATTCTAAGTAATTTGAAACAAATAATAAAATAATAGATAATAAAAGAGGGGCTGAAGGGGAGAAAGATCAAATCGATCGTGACAATTGACATTGTTGTGTAGTACAATGAAGAATCTATAGGTATATATATATATATATATGTGTGTGTTTAAATTAACCTCAAAAAAAAGTCATATTGATAACACATACCAGATATAATTTATACTCAAGACGAGCTTTGTAATCCATATTAACTTTGCTCCCATGTTTATTTATCAGAGACATCATTAATCGAATGTGTCATGACAGTGATATGTGGCATATAATAAAATTTACATTGTCATCGGTTTGATTTCGTACGTCGTGACGTGATTTCGTTTCCTTTAGCGAACCATAAACGAATAAGACACGTATCATCTGTCAAAGCATTCTTACTGTTCACTGTATAACTTCGTATATTGCGTCTATCGCGAACAAGTACGTTAATTGGCAATGTAGTCATTTGCTGTTAGAGTTGACGGAACACGCACGGTACACCTCCCTGTCATACATCGAACCTAACACTTACTATACTTATATTATATCTAACTCTCGGACCAATCGTATGACATACTCTTCACAATCTACAGTAAGTTGCATAAAATGCATAGACTTTTAAATATATTTGTTAATAATATATTGTATATTATTTATATATTATATTTTAACATATGATTTAATTTAATTTAATTTAGTATGCAAATTTTGTTTAAATGCTTTTTCAATTTAATGCAAAACATGCAATGACTTTTTTAACTACATCTGTCAATAATACATTGTACATTATTATTATTATTATATTATATTATATTATATTATATTATATTATATTATATTATATTATATTATATTTTAACGTTTCTGATTTAATTTAATTTAATTTAATTTAGATATGCAAATTTTGTTTAAATGCATTTTTAATTTGATGCAGAAAATGCAACCAACTTTTAACTACGTTTGTTAATAATATATTGTTATTATTATTATTATTATTATTATTATTATTATTATTATTATTATTATTATTATTATTATTATTATTATTATATTATTATATTATTATTATATAATATTTTAACATTTAAGATTTAATTTAATTTAATTTAGATATGCAAATTTTGTTTACATATATTTTTAATTTAATGCAGTAAATGCAATCAACTTTTAACTACGTTTGTCAATAATATATTGTTATTATTATTATTATTATTATTATTATTATTATTATTATTATTATTATTATTATTATTATTATATTATATTTTACCATTTAAGATTTAATTTAATTTAATTTAATTTAGATATGCAAATTTTGTTTAAATATATTTTTTATTTAATACAGTAAATGCAACCAACTTTTAACTACGTTTGTCAATAATATGTTGTTCATTACTATTATATTATATTTTAACTGTAATTTTTTTTTTTAATTTAATTTAATTAATTTTCTTATTGTTTTTTTTTTTTTAATATTGGTTGTAAAAAATAGGATACCACACATATTTCTATTTTTCCTACAATTATTTATTTACTAAATTTGATAATTCTTCCTTGTTCTATAACAGCATTAGCAAACAAATATCTTTGTGTTCTTATTTTTTTTTGTTCTTCTTTTTTCCTCTTTGTTTTCTTTAACTCTTTGTTTTTTTTAACGTTATACAAAAATTATAATAATCAAACCCTCTCTCTCTAACAGTTATATATATAACTGTTAGAGAGAGACATTATAATAAATAATATATATATATATTATTTATTATAAACTGTTCAAGAGAGGTTTTGAAGATAGATACCATTCAGTAACAATTATCGCGATACTAACAATAAGGCAATAAATAAATATTCACAGATGGATGTAACAAGTGCTAAACAAAGCGATGGGAAGAGAAGAGGGACGGGGGGACATTTCAAAATGTTTTTTAAAAATTCTACGAACATTCTTTCTGTCGTAATCGATATTCTGTGGGTGTGAGCATTCCTCTGAAACAATATACGTATATATAAAGTATATAATATTCTATATATACATAAAAACACAGATGTGAGTTTTTATTTATTAAAAAATAAATTAAATCTTTATAAAATATGTTATTTTAAAAAATTATATTTACTCTTATCGGTCGTCAGGTTTTTATATTGATGATTTTCACTAATTTGTAAGTTTATAAATGGTTTTGGTAAATATTCAAACAAAATTGTTCAATATTATAAGAATAATTTATTTCATTAATTATAAATATGAATTAATTTAATATTATATTAATTATAATAATGAAATTATTTACTATTGAATTATTAATAACATATTTTTATTTGTAAATTACTTCCCACGTAATGCACAACCGATAAGAGTTAAATATAGCAAAACAAATAGAAATAATTAAAAAAAAAAAGGAATAGTAATTTTATATGATACCTTAAAACAGTGTCGAATGAAACATTGACTCCTTTGTCACACATTCGTTTATAAAGGTGCCAACAATCTTTTTCTTTACTTGTTTGAAAACGTGGTTCAGTTTCTATTGGTATTATTGCATCTGAATTTTTTTCTTTCAAAGAAATCTCCGAGTTCGGATTGACCTTTTAATAAAAAGATAATTCAATGAATTATATAATTTATAATTTTTTTTTTCAACATACGAGAGTTGTTCATTTATTAAATAAATTAACTCAACGATGTTCATAAATATATTCATTTTAAATATAAATAATCATTTTATATATCAATGAAGTGTTTTTTGACATTAAAATTTTAACAAAAAATTCTTAAAATTGAGTTAATTCATTTCAGCATGTAAAAATGAATCAAATACGTGTATTATATGAGTCATTTTTCTGAGTATTAATACATGACTCATTTATATGTGTATATATATGTTTATTATCCTCTCACATTTGGAAGTAAAAATTTATTAGAAATTGTTGATCGACGTGCAATTAATTGATCATCAGTTGTTATTATTTCATTATCTTTTTTCATCTCTATCATCGTTGCTTTTTTATCAAGGACACTGTAAAAATATTATGTCATGTTAGAAGTTCTTTAAATTAATAATTGATTCTGTCTATTTATAGTATGAATAATACAAATTGATAAAAAAATTGATGAATAATAGATCATCAATAATAATCGATGAAAAAAAAAAAGAAGAAAAAAAAGAAAGAAAGAAATAATTTATTATTAATTTACATTGTAAATTATTCGAAGAAAGTGGAATAAAATGAGAGAATGGTCGTACCAGTATGTTACAACTCTTTTGATAACGTTATTTTGTAGTATATTATATCGACCCGGTTTTTTTCTCTCGACTATCGTAAATCATGGAATAATCAAAGCGTATTTCGTGACCTTTATGAAATATTAAAATGCGGATATCGTTGAAGAACCAACTTCATTATGGTTTAACCCACGCGCATATAATCTATGTGCACTTTAGTTGAAAGAAGGTGTGTACGCTCGAGTTGTAATATGCTTTTACTTTAACTTATAAATAATATTGTAAATAGGTGCAGATGTGTTAATGAAGTATATAACAAGCTATATAGATTAATTATAGTGATCTTATTTTTCTTCATTTTTTCTATTTAATTATTTTTATAAATATATATATATATATATATATATATATATATTTATTTATTTATTTTATAATTTAATAATATATATTTTATTATATTTAATATATATTATTTTATACATATATATATATATATATATATTTATTTATTTATTTATTATTATATTTTTATTATTTTATATATTTTATTATTTAATATTTATATTTATTGTTATTTATATATTTCTTTTTTCAAATTTTATTATCAACACTTAAATTTATATTTAAAATAAATTTGTTTAATAATTAAATTTAATGCAATTAAATAATAAAAATTTGTATAACTATTGTACAACAAATAATATGACAATGTATATTATACTTTATCAATTTTCTCTAATTTTTGTTTCGTGAAGTTAATCGATTTGGTAAATGAGTTGCTCATGTATATATATACTTTTTTTTATTTAGAAAAAAGAAAACAAGAAGAAGACTTACGATACTGTTGAAGTATTACGTATTCTATGCGACTTCTTTTTCATATCATCCACATTTCCGATTGGCACAGCTAGACTTCTCATATCATGGTCCATCAAAGGAACGCATAAAGATTCGCTTTCATCTTGGACAAATGAAAGCATGGGAAAAGCCGTTTTGATTTCGTTCGATTTCCAAAGCATCGATTCTTTGCACGTTCCGTATTCTCCTGATTCTTTTGAATCTTTTATGAAATGATTTTGCGTGATGGTAGTTTTTGTTTTGACACAATCAAATTGCATTTTTTCCAAAGGGTAATCCTCGTCCAATGAGTCTCTTAGAAAGGAAACTAGCATAAAAGAAATAAGTTATTTATTCGTTTAATTATTGTTTAATACGATTGTAAAATGTGTAAACATTACGATTAAAAAATATATTAGATTTTTATAAATTATTTTGCATATTGAGATTGTATTGAAATTGTTTTTTGCTAATTTTAATTTTGCTAATTAAAATTAATAATAATCTAAATTGCACATTAGAAATTATTTTCTGCTAATTTATAAATTTTGCTAAATAAAATTAATAATAATAATCTAAATTGTGTGCACATTAGAAATTGTTTAGCTTAGTTGATAAATTTGTTATACAATTTTCCACAAATAATCTTTTAAAATAATAAAAAAAAGATAATCGAAATAGTTATGTACTTTCTATTTAACTAGCCTAAACTAAAGCTTGAAAAAAAATAGTGACTGCAATTCATATATGTATAAAAGTTCAGAATTGTTATAAGAAGGTTCACACGAGATTTTTCGGGTTTTATTAGTTCATTTAAAACTCAAATAAAGTAATTATTAGAGGGGTTGATTGCACGTCGAGTTTCGATGAGATATTTTGCTCCATGAAGGGAGGTCCTTGAGGGTTAATAGGGTTGAGAAGAAGTTTGGTCGATTTAACATGTTCAATCGATTATAAGGATAGCACGAAGAAAGATAGACAACGCTTTATTATGAAGAAAACCTTTTCTCGATAATGCCGTTAGAAATGGCATCATAGACAGATACATACTGCAGTGTTATCTATGTTTATTACATAATCAATCTCATTGCTCGTAACAATCATAGATTCATTTTCAACTTGAAGATAATATGTGTCAGTTAATCGTATCTATCAAACATAAAATACAATTGATTGATAACTTTTGATTTGTTCAAAACTATGCCTACTATTAGATTCGTTCGTTTATAAATATGTTAAAAGAAATTTTGAGTTATATCAAATATTTCGACAGTTCTATTAAAAATATCGATTAGATATGGTCGCGTGAAAATTTTTCATTTACTATAGTAGAAGAGTAGAATTTAATTCATGCACGATAGAATGGTAAGCACAACGAACCAGCAAAAGAGAAGATAATTTATGGAATGTGTGCGTCGCGTGTCTCGCACCCTTTGTAATTTGTTCCTTTAATTATAGTTGCACGCCTTGCTTCATCGTAACGCTTACGTCTCATCGAATTCCTACCTGGCTTTTATCAGTTTATTACACCAATGTTGTTTTATAACATGCATTCCGAGTTTTAATGGATTCAATATTAAAAAATATAAACAAATTATAAGATATAGATACAAATAAGAAAATGTTATTTAAATCATTGGAAATTTGCAATATTTTTAATATGTTTTATTTTTTATAATTTTAATTTCGTGTATTATTTAACTCGTATTTTATTTTTTTAACTCCGCCTAGTTAATTTCTAGGTATCTAGATATTAACTAGCTGGTCCCAAGCCCAGATAAAGGAGAAGGGTTCGAGGGTGGGGTCTAGCAACCTACCCCCGGTAAAAAAAATTATTGTTTCCCGAATAAACAAAATAGCCACTTTTGGCTATTAAATTCGGGATAACAGGACGAAGTCCTAATTATAATAATAATATAATAATAATAATATTATTATTATTATTTTTATTCGCATTTAATGTACGATTTTTTAAACTTACCTGATTTTACAGGTTTCCTTATATTTCCTGGTATAGGTGTCGTCGAAGTTTTTATGATAGGCGTTGTAGATAATTTTTCACGTAACTGATTGATCAATTTAGCTTCATTAGGTGAATTTTCTAAATCACTGTCGCTTTCCGTCGAACTGACCAAAGAAACCATGGTAATAACGTCATTTGATTTCCCATCGCAATCTTTCATTGATAATCCACATCTACCACGTAAACCATTGCATTGTTCATCTTTGCAAGCTGATCCTAAACTGTGTTGTCGTTTTTTTATACTTTTAAGACGTTTTTTTAAAGGAGCTGATTTTATTGGACGAACGTATGATGGCTGAGGGACAAATCGGTATAATCAAATAATAAAAAAATTGATTAAATATATTATGAAAAATTGAATATTAATTACCTTCAACAAAATTTCTTTTTTTTTATCAACAATACAACCTTCCTCGTTAACTTTTCCCTTGTCGTTAATTTCATTAGGATTTTTTGCAATTGCATTATTAGAATCACAGTTCGTATCTATGACGATATTTACCTGAATACGAGATGAATTTCTTCCTTGTAACGGTGCCGAACTACTTCTTGATTTTCTATTAAATTTTTGATCGTTTAGATTTTTAATCGTATTTTTTGTTTCAATTTGTTTATTTTCCGTTGTTCTTTTACACGAAGTATTTCTTTGAATATCGGTATTATCGGTCGACATTTTGGATACAACAGTTTTATCAGTTTCCGTGTATAAAAATGCTCGATTAGTACCGTTTCGAAAATTAGTTCGTTTTTGTTTAGCCGAAGTTGCTTCGTTTTGAGATTTTGAGATATTTAATGTTGTAGTTTCTGACTTTAATGTTGGTAATTTGATATTATCGTCTGTTTCGATAGATACACTTTTTTCATTTTGTTTAGGTTGATCGACCAAAACCTAAAAGAAATTTTTATATACAATTTTTATATAATATTTATATATATTCATATAAAATATATAATTTTTTATATATTATATTATAGTATATATTTAGTTATATTACTATAGTTATATTATAGTATTTGTTTAAATA